AGCTTCATATTAATACTTGTTCAAATGCACATTTTATTTGCTTTCAAATTGCATATTTCATTTTCTTTTTATTAATGTAAAAATCGTCGTATAATTTTGATTTTGGTTGTCTTCGTGCATGAACTTGGTTTATTCTTATTTTTAGCCCTTAAAATTCGACTTGATCGTCTCTCATTTATAAACTTCTCGCTTTAGATTGCCTGCTTTCCTGGTGTCTTTATGCCCAGTCCTAGCTACGTTGCTATCTACTTCAACATCTTCTCTCAGCTCTACCCTCGAATTGCCCGTCTTTCCCCGGAACAGCGCCTGGCCGACTTTGACCTCAAGCTAGTGAATGTTTTCCGATACGGCGTCCTCTCTCCCATTTATGTTGCCACTTTGCAGGCAACCAGCTTAGCCACCGCAGCCCAAACGACTATCAGTCAGACCGTTTCGTCTACCCGACCATCCCTGGTTTCCAACAATATTAGCGATGGTAACAATGACAATAGTAATGATGTTACTTGTGACACTGTCGCCAGAAGCACATCTAACCATCTTACATCGGCGAGCTCTGTCACTTTTGCCACAACTGGTCTATTTGCAGAGATCAACAATCCCTTACACCTAAAGACCTCTAGTGGGCTGATTCTGGTGCCAGTACTTGATGATACATGCTTAACTCCATCGCAGCTTGCTATTTTCAACTGTTTTGAATTGCTGGCAAGAGTAAATACAAGGACTGTCTGATATATTTATTTTTATTATATTTAAATACTACATTTAAATAGACTTTTTATAGGCAATTACCTTATTTGACGTTGTTTTCTCGCTTTTTGTCCCAAACTCGGCGAGCTTTAGTTTTCGCGTAGCTTTCTTTTGGAAATCAATTTTTAAGAGGGTAAAGATATAAAATAAAGGCAAGGCAGAAAGTGATTTTTGAACTTTTTTGAATAGTATAATTTCGAGATATTAAGTTGCCTCGATCTTTATAAATTTTTCGAATGTGAAATTGTTTAACTGACGTATAATGGCTGTCTTCGCCAGGGCTTCTTATTGCACCTATCTGTGAATGGCTTTTATTACCAATGGCTTTTCCATTCCAATAATTGCTCGCCTGTTTCACACTTTCATATCCCAACGAATAGAGATGAATATATTCTCTGCATCCCCTAATGTACTTATGCTTACACGAGCGCAATCATCGGGTAGAAATGACAAGGCGTACTGAGAAAACTCCTAGCAATTTCACGGATGGGTTATTGTTTAGACAGTCGGTAGGTTAGTCTTAGATATCCAATTGAATACATTTTGTCATCTTTATGCAGAAATTATAGTTTACTTCAGTATCAGGTTTAGCCATCTTTCTCTCTTTCATTTCACAACTACTGTGTCTTATTAAACTTTCAAAGTGTTTTAAACATTTATACATCTATTGATACTGGCGTACCTTTCACTTCGTTTGAGAAGGCGGGTCGAAGGGATTCGTAGATTGGCCGCACCGGATACTGCAGGAGTCTTGTCTTGGACTTTTATCTGTTTAACTGTGCGAAGAAAACCTCGGCTCACCATCTTACGACCCCGATGACTCCGCGCTGATCTTTCGTCCGTCATGTGACGGACATCATCAGAGCCAGAAACCATTATTCACGAAAAAATCACCAAAAACACTGAACCGGGGAAGGTGGCCAGCTGAGATCCTACTTACTTCTTATACCTTACTTTGCGATCTTAATGAGGCATTCCATGATTTCATTGTCTGACGTATGCTTGTCCTACATGCATGTAAGTGGGTCAAAGTGATGTAGGCAGGGGGGCGGATGTGGTCACAACTTTTGTCTATGTAAATAAACTATAGCATGATCTAGTAGTCTTGGGTCTTGTCACAGCTTCGTGGATGCGTATTCGCTTGTGTATGCAACAACCCCGAGTTGGTTAACAATTTTAGGTTCAAAAACAGGTTCAAGCTTAGTCTAGCCCCCTCCTTTTGCTCGCTGGTCATTCCTGTTACCTTTCCTTCTCTCTCTCTCATTCTATTTAGAAGCTAGATATAGTTCTTACTTAGTTTCCTACATTCATTCTTCTTATTTAGGATGTTGTTTGTTTTGTTAATTTAAATCGACTCTCTGATCTTCCACTTAATTATGAAGTCTCCATATCTGGCAAAACTTTGGAATTTAGACCACTATTTGATGTCCTGTAGCAACCACATGTTTAGCCTCTTACGATTTCTGAATCCATAAACCTTTGCAGGCGGTTCTATTTTCTGATAGCCTCTTATGTATGGGTCGACATGTCTCCCTCATAAGCATTACCACATGAGCACAACCTGATCTGCAGAGGGCGTTGGAAGATTCTCTAAAAGAAGGCATGATCGAGGAAAGCGTTACTGCTTCTTTATAACTCGTCCTGACACTCAATTTCCTCAATAATTCGCCTATCTTTATTGAAAGCTTGCGGGATTGTAGCATTAGGAACCCGACCGAAGAGTTGTTTAAATCCTTGTTTTGTCCAAAATAATGGCTTTCGTTCACTCTATTTCTAAAAATTGTGAAATTATTAACAATTAATCCTACAAGCTAAATGTTCTCAACTAAGATTTTTCATAGCCTTTCTAATTTCTGTTTCTGATGATTTACGTCCGCTAGGCGTAAACTCCTTAGTATCATTGCTTTCATCACGCCTACCTTAACATGATAAATATGGTTCGAGAAGAAATTTAGAAGGAAACCTGCATTTATGGGTTTCCTATATACATCTCTATCCAGTTTGCTCCCTTCTTTACTAAGTAGGGCATCTAAAATGGATAACTTAACTCCATAATGAATTTAGTC